CAAGCTGAATAGTGCATTGGTGGGAAAGTATAGTTGTTCAGTCAGAGCTGTCTGTATTGGAAATTCCATATCACAACTTACTGACCTCATGTTATTTCACCTCTCAAAGGCAGGATCATTATGAAGAGTAGTGCATCAAGCCATGTACATTAACTAAAATACTTATTTTATATGGTGAGAACACTTCAAATCTACTCTTAGCAATTTTCAACGATAAAACATATTGTTATTAACTACAGTCACTATTTTGTACAAAAGATTGTTTAAACTTATTCCTCTTATCTGACTGAAATTTTATATTCTTTGACCAACATCACCCTGACCTCTGTCTCCTAATTGTCCTTGTAACCACGTCTAGTTCTATGAGATCAACTTTTTAAGATTCCATATGAGTGAGATTATGTAGTATTTATCTTTCCCTGTCTGGCCTATTCACTTAACATAATGTCCTCAAGGTTTATGCATGTTGTTGTAAATGGCAGGATTTCCTTCTTTTTATGGCTGAATAGTATTCCATTGTGTGTATATATATATATACCCTGATAATTTCCTTATCCATTCATCAGTTGATGGACATTTAGGTTGACTCCATATCTTAGCTATTGTGCATAAGGCTGAAGTAAACATGGGAATGCAGATATCTATTTGACACAATGATTTCATTTCCTTTAGTCACATACTCAGCTCAAATTTGCCATTCCACAATGTGTACATATTTCAAAACATCAGATTATATACAAAAAAAAATACATACCATTTTTATTTGCCAATTAAAATTAATTAATTTAGAACACCTGGCCAGAGATATTCAATAAATGATACCTCACAAGACAAACACTGGTCTTCTGGATGAGAAGTCATGAACTTCCTGGTTTCCTCTCCTTTTCTCAACCATTATGAAAAACTTTCAAGGGCTCTATTTGGGAAGGAGTAGCCTTCAAAACCAGTATACCAATCTAACCAGGGCTCCCTACCATCTGAGCTTCCTTCAGAACCACACCCACAGTACCAAACCAAACCAACACTCACAAAGAATTACCATGCCTTGTGGCTTTTAGAAGTTAATAAACCTCTTTGTTCAAGAATTTTTCTGCCCAAGGCTCTAAATCATGCTTTCCTCACCCTCCGCAGCCATCCCCCTCCAATGCAAACGGACAAAGCCCCCAGTGTTGAGGGCAGGGGATGGCGTCATTTGGCTTGGGAGGGGGACTGAGTAGAATCAGGGCTCTGAGAAGAAGTCTAGGTAGAGGCTGAAGGAGCCTCTGGCTCTCAGCTGGACCACAAAATGCACCCTGAATGATACCCTCCCCCCTATAGCTGTTGCACATAATGATACTGCTGTCTGAAACATAGGGCCTAACAGCCTGTGTAGTCTCTGGGCACCTAATCCCTTCAGTCTTAGAGTCAGAGACCTGCCCAAGAAGAGATGTCCCCCTGCCAGCTGCCTTCCCTCAACCCCTGCATATGCCAATAGCTAATCATACTTAAATGAGGCATTTCCCTTCCTTTTACAGAAAAGGGCTGCCTGAAATCCAAATAGTGGATATTAAAATAGGAGAAAAAGAGATATAGAATACATAAATGCCAGAGATAAATTTGGGGGAGATAATCAGATTTGAGAGATCCATTACACAATGTAGAGATGGGGAAACTGAGGCCCAAAGAGGGGAAAGATTTATATAAAGTATCACAGGGAGTTATTGTGAGAGCAGCCATAGAGCTTAAAGGCTCACTTTCCATTCAGTGCCCTTTTGACTTCACCAAGCTATCCCTTTAAAAGCTCTCCAATGTAAAACCTGCATGCAAAGGGAGAATGCAAAACCTTAATATAATCAAAATGCATTCAGTCATTCCAGACTAGCACTGTAATCACTTGTGAGCTATGTGAATGTCAGCACATTACTTTAATTGTAGTAAATGCATGTGTTTAAAAATTTGTCAAACTAATTTGTATTTTTATAAATTAAATATCAATGATTACCCTGTACGATTCAAAACAAAAACATAAAACAAACTCTAGAGAAGAAGCAAGTACCAGCTAAATCCAAAGTTAGATATTCTGAAGATCATCAAGCCTATCTTTCAACTGTATCTCATGAATGAGACAAGAAGCATCATAGCATTGGGAAGGGAGCTATCATTTATTACATCTTTACTACATACTGGATGCTTTACATAACACTTTCTTTTCCTATTTGTATTTTCTTATTGTCATTCTCTTCTAATTTTTCTTTTTTTTCTTTTTAGTTATAGATGGACACAATATCTTTGTTTTATTTATTTATTTTTAAATGGTGCTGAGGATTGAACCCAGTGCCTCATGCATACAAAGCAAGTGCTCATCCGCTGAGCTACAACCCCAGCCCTCTAATTTTTCTTTTTCAATCTTATGTAACTATAACTTGTTTAGGGAGTAGCAGGAGAGGTATAAATAATAATATACTATTTTGCACCTTCACAAAAATCTAGTTAAGGTAGATATAAGACTTTTTTTTTTTTACAAAATGAGGATAACAATCCAGAGATATTTAAGAATTTTCTGAAGGTCTAACTAAGTAAATGAGAATTTTATTTCCTCATCCATAAAATAATATCAGTATTAATTCCTGCACTCAGATTGCTTTGTGATAGTCAAATGCTTGTCATAGTACCCAATATACATAACCCCTGGGCAAATGTTAATTCTCATCTGTATTAGCTACAGACAACAATTTTTCCACTTGCCATGATATCAGGGACTCAGAAGACATGCCCAAAGCTGTCCTCATAATTCTAGTCATCTCTTCCTTCCTTCTTCTTATATAGTGACCTGCATGGAAAAAAGCCACCCCCCATCTCCATTCTCCCATTGTCTTTCCTTGTACCAGAAGGTTTATTCACAAGAACAGAATTAGCCCATTTGAAAATGACCCCCTTCTTTCTTCCTTCCCCTAACTGACCATGGGGAATTTCTCATACAGTAGAAGGACCCAGAGAACAAGGGGGAAAAGGAAGCAAGAAATCATAGAGAATCCACCAAGGCGATGAATAGTCCCGATTTCCTGGACAATAAGTCAAACCTCATCCCATCACAGGCCACTGGAAAATGAGATAATGGTCCATCTAATGGGGCCCCAGTCTCTGGAAATGGTAGTCCAACTTTTGCTCCTGGAAGTTTGGTCATAGATGGCACATTCCCTTGGCTCCTACAGAGTCTTCAAATACCACCAAATTCTGTAGCCCTTACCTGATGTTATGGTTGGACATGAGGTGTCCCCCCAAAGCTCCTGAATTTCTGAAGGAATATTTAGAAATAAAATGATTGAACTGTGAGAGTTGCAATATAATTAGTCTATCTTAGTTTAAACTGACTGGGTGCTAACTCTAGGCAGGTGGGCTATGGCTAGAAGAGGTGGGTCCCTAGGGGTATGCCCTGGAAGGGTGCATCTTCCCTGCAGCCCCTGCCCCCTTCTCTCTCTCTCTGACCACACCATCAGCCAAGAAGCTTTCTTCTGCTGGGTACTTCACCCGTGATGTGCTGCCTTATTTGACCAAGAGCAATGAAGTTGGTCATCTATGGACTGATACCTCTGAAAATATGAGACCCAAATAAATTTTCCATTCCCTAAGTTTTTCTTTCTTTTTTTTTAAAGAAATGCTTTTTTAAATTCTTTTTTTAAACTTTATTTTATTTATTTATTTATTCATTTTTATGTAGTGCTGAGGATCGAACCCAGGGCCTTGCATGTGCAAGGCGAGCGCTCTACCACTGAGCCATAACCCCAGCCCCCCTAAGTTTTTCTTGCTATGTATTTTGATCACAGCAGTGACAAGCTAAAACATTCAGCACACCTGTCTGACAAAGGTGATTCATAGTGAAGGCACATCCCCTGAGTTAAAAATGGAAATAAATGCTTCACCAATGGAGAGTAAACAATTATCTCCATAGCATGGCCCAAAGAGATAAACTACCTTCCTACTGTATCCATCACCTCCAGTGTTTCCTATGTCACAACATTTCTTTAAAAGAAATATTGCCTAGAGTAGTGGCACATCCTGTAATCTCAGAGATTCAGGAGGCTGAGGCAGGAGGATTGTAGGTTCAAAGCCAGCCTCAGCTACTTACTGAGGACCTAAACAACTCAGCGAGACCCTATCTCTAAATAAAATATAAAAAAAGGGCTGGGGATGTGGTTCAGTGGTTAAGCACCCCTGGGATTGATCCTCAGTGCAAAACAAAAACAAACAAAAAACAACACAGAAGAAATGTACATAGAATTCAATACCTCAGGGAGAATAAGCTGGTTTCCTTCTACTAAAAATAATAAAAAAAGAAGTGACAGAGACCGTATGTTGCAGTGGCAAGAATGAGGGCTTCAAATCCCCACAAGAATGTGTTATTCAGCCAGGCATGGTGGTAAACGCCTGTAATCTTAGCAGCTTAGGAGGCTGAAGTAGGAGTATTGCAGGTTTGAGGCCAACTTTAGCAACTTAGTGAGGCTGTAATCAACCTACTGAGACCTTGTCTCAAAACAAAAAATAAAAAGGGATGGCTCATTGGTTAAGTGCCCTTGGGTTTAATCCCTGGTACAAAAAAAAAAAAGAATGTGAGGTTCAAAATTCTAGTCAGACACCAATAGTGAATAAGAAGTTATTTAACTTGTGAATCTCATCATTAAAATGAAGAAGAGAGCACTTACATATTTCATAACTTAAAGGAAGGCTCCATATGCTTTTGATTTTGGAGCATCTAGTACAGAATCATACTCTCCTCCTCTTCTCTCCTTTGTTTAGGACCAAGAATAGGATTAATTAGGGCCATGGGGGTACAGTTTTCCAAACTTAAAATTTGCCTTCCTTCTCTATTAAGTCTGGGGTCAGCATTTGTTTAGACCTATCTAGGAGGATCAAGTAGGTAAAGAAGTTCTCTGACAAAAGGCAAGGGCATGGATAGTCAGCATTGTGATGAGAGCTACTGGGAGAAGGGAAGGTGTTTAAGGAGCAATAAATCCCTCCCTTACCTGGTCAAACAGCTGCTTGCCAGTGGTGTTGGGCTGGATGGCAAACTCCAGCTCTGCATCCATGGTGGTCACACGCACACTGATCTAGAATGAGATTAAAGAAAGCAGGTTGGTCAACTCAATCTGTGCTCATCAGAGACTAGGATAAGTGTCTCTGTTGAACTATATAGGAAGGAACTAGGATGCTAAGAACCTGAGTAACTTAGATATTGGTGGGGTGAAGGGGGGCTACTAACATAAGCCACAACCCAACCCTGTACCCAACCAGGTTATTGAAGACAAAAAACACACAGACACAGAACAATGTTTACCAAAGGGCAAATGAGAATGCAAATCAGCCTACTACTAAGAGAATAAAGTGTTGACTATATTTCTTCCGGGAAGTCTTCTCTACCTCCTACAGCATTCTCGTCTCAACTCTGATCTACTACTTGGATTATCTAAAGTACTGTGAGATAACTGTGGAGGCAAGTTAATGGTGGGATAAAGAACACTGGGTTACAAACCTGTAACTGACTCAAGTATACAACCTCAGATAATTCTCATCTCTTTCCTGTGCCTTAGTTTCCCTTATCTGTGCAAGGGCAGAATTGGGGCAGGGACAATTAGTTAAAGTAGCTGATCTCCAAGGACCATTCCAGTGGGTGACGTATGTGGTTCTATACACTGCCTTGCATTGTTAATGCTTCCTGTATTTATGTTTCATTGGCCTCCCTAGGCACAAGAGAGGAAGGGGGCCTCAGCAGAGATGGGTGTGGACAACATAGAGGTTCTACCAAAACTATGTGAAGGAAGGGACAAAAGGATAAGTCCAGAACAAAATAACAGGTAGCCACACACGATTTCATCAGCACTAGTAAACATAGCCACTGCGTTTACAAATATACTTCCTAACCTAGGTCTTAAATATTTTTTCCTTTGGCTAAGAGGTTGGTAGTGATGATAATTGTACTGATAGTAACAATACACAACAGCATTCATGTATCCAGACTTTCTACTCACTGGATACTTCATATCAGTCTACATTACCCTGTGAAGTAGAAAGTATTATCTCCACATTGGGGATAAAGAAATAAATATTTGCCTAAAGTCACATTACTAATAAGTGGGAGAGACACATTTGAATTAAGGTCAAAGAGCAAACCTCCTGATTAAAGCAATATGTAATTTTTTCTTACAAAGTGTGAAAGTCTCCCATTAAAAGAAATCAAATATGATTTTTTAATTATCAGACATTTTGCTTAAGTAAACTATATGGGGCAGCCACAAGATGGCTTATTATATATTCATATAAAATCTTTACAAAGACTATTTCATGCCCAGAGAAGATACTTTAGTTATATTATATAAGTATAAATAAGATTTCATATAATACATTTCAATAAATCAACTGCGTAATATATATATATATATATATATATATATATATATATATATATATATA